AAAAGTTTTTAACTAAAAAAAACCTGATAGGTGAAAGTTTTATTGAAGCAATCATTACATTTTTATCTAAACCTGAAAAATCAAGAAATGAAGAAAAGACTTATATGGGTACTTCCAAAAGAATTAAAAAGAGAAACCAGTAACCAATGGTTTCCTCTGCAGACTATCAGATCCTGTGCCTTTGTTAGAAAAGGCTATAAAATCAACTCTCAGTTTTCTAACAGTCTACATGATCACCTAAGAAGGAATCAGAGTTTTCAGAAGAAAATAATAATCACTAATATTTCACTGAATTTCAACTTTTTCTAGGCATTCATTACATGTTTTAACTCATTTAATACTCACCTCAAATGTATGGGGGAGGTACTATTATGATGCCCTTTTTATAAATGAAGAAACTACAGAGAGATTAAACACTTCCATAAGCTCATACATCTAAATGATTAAGCCAGAATCTGAATCCATGAAGTCTGGCTTCATGGGAAAAAAAGCAGTTACTAGAGAAAGACAATTATTCCTAGTACTAAGTGCATAAAGAAATATCGGTGAATACATTAAATAATATTTATAATTTGTAAAAGAATCAGCCGTATGACTGTACCCATCCTCTGGCTATACTATAATTCAAACACGTTTTTCCCCTTGTCCACAGAGATAGAACGTAAGAGATTGAGTGAAATGTCTACACTTGGGACATCTCTAGGAAAACAACACCACAGAAAACTAAATTATGTATCCAAAAATAAATGGAAAGTAGTCTGTATAACTTTTAATTAGTCTCCTAATATCTGGAGATTCCTACTTTCTTTCCATGGGTATAACCAATATTTTTATCTCTTTTGAACTATTATTTTTTCCTAATGACTTTATAATTTTAAGTTTAAAAGTATTTTCTCCATAACTTTACATGAACCAACAGACATAAGGCTCTTTTAAGGATCTCCAAGAAAGGCATCATTTAATATGTTTTGATATAGAAATGAATTGTAAGTAGATAAACCTGCTGATTCAAATGAACAGAATCTAAACTATTTAAATTATTTTTTACATAATGCAGGATCTGACAATAAGAAAAGAACTTTTTTCTAACTTTCTAACTATATGACATTTGGCAAGTTACGTTCTATCAAGCACCAAAACGATTATAGGTTTTCAAATAATTTACAACATTTTCTTCTTAGGTTTTCACCACGTAACACTGAAATATATAATAAATATGTTCGAATAAAAAAAGCTTCAAAGAAGAAATATACAATAGAAACATACTAAGTAGTATGAATCTAAAATCAAAAGGAGAGTGGTAAATATGTTACGCACTATGCATTATAGAGCATGAGTTAATCTATAGAGACCAGCTTGATTGACAAAGTACACAGAATTGCCTAGAGCATGGTACTGAACCTTGGTCAAAGCTGTGAGATGTACTAACCAGGGATAGATGATGTTCTGTAAATACGGGTCCGTGAGCTGTTTCAAGGCAAGACAGACTAGCTTGTCAAAATGGTTTGGCAATCATCACTGGATTTATTCCTTCTACCTGGATTTGGTGGAGTCCAGGGGTTTGCAATGATTTTAGTGAGAAATCCCTACCATACACAGACTTGCGATTTCTTGGTACGGAGGTGCTGCATGCGCATGCACGCCCACGGGGCTCCAGCCCCGGGAGACCAAGTCCTGCGAGGCGCAGAGAGGGATGAGAAAGAAGACGGCGTCTGAGATCGCCACGCCCACCCTGTTACCGCTCTTCTCCCTCCTGAAGCTGCTGTGGTGCATCATTTCTGACTACGAACTATTCTGAATCCTGTGAGTCCTTTCCTAATCAATTATGTAATTACATGATATTAGCATAGTACTTATCATGAGTGCTTAGTTTTAAATGACATCAGTAAAATGAAGGAAAGAGTAATTGTTTACTGATCCTCTGAGTCAGGCCTAGCCTTTCACTCCTCCAGGAGCCTCACCTGGTTTGAGCTGAACCACTTCTTAACTCATATAAATGATGTGGAGTTGAAAAACACGTAAGCCTTGAAAATTATCACATTAAAATACTCGTAATTTCTCCAGGGTGTTAAAAATGTCATACTAATGGAGTCTTTGTTAGTAGCATCAGTTCATAAACTCAGGTATTGTCATTTAAAGTTTAACAAAATAAAGCAGACTGAGGTCAGATGGAAAATGATTCTCTGTGAGTGTGGATAAAGTCACAGAACTTCACCGTATGATTTCGATGCGTATCCAAAAGCTGGCACCAATTTCATACACATTTCCAGGAAATAAGTAAAAATCTTGACCTCTAACACTTCAGAAAGAATCACCATCCAAATCTCAGTTTCGTTCTTCTCATCACTTCTCGCTTCCTATCTTTCTCCCACTTGTATTTTTAGACCCATGGCTCCCAGATCTGTGCTTAGTAGTTAGGAAAAATATCAAACTAAATTTACTAATTTTTCAGATATCCCTTTTTGAAAATAAATTTCAGTAACCACTGAAGGTGACAGCTAAGACACCAATTAATAAGAAATATAAAACCACATCTATTTTAAATTCTTAGTTTTAAAAAGTTCATTAAAAATACAGGCCTAGGGGCGCCTGGGTGCCTCAGTCGTTAAGCGTCTGCCTTCGGCTCAGGTCATGATCCCGGGGTCCTGGGATCGAGTCCCACGTCGGGCTCCCTGCTCGGCGGGAAGCCTGCTTCTCCCTCTCCCACTCCCCCTGCTTGTGTTCCCTCTCTCGCTGTGTCTCTCTCTGTCAAGCAAATAAATAAAATCTTTTAAAAAAAAAATAAATAAAATAAAAATAAAAATACAGGTCTAGTTTTGGGATTCTGTTTTTGTATTAATACTTTACCAAGAACTACCACCTAAAATATATTCAGAGGACTCAAATATTATTTTTAGTAAGTTAAAATTGAGAAAAGACTTTCTCCTTATACTCAGTTAATTAAGACCCTGGGTTAAATAATTTGGGGGGACAAGGGAGGGCTAAAGGTCCCATTTCAATATCAAGATTTGTGCAAAGTGAATGAGGAAATAAATGTATGCCTTCAAAAGATGAAAGTAATGTTCTGTAACCTCAAGGTCAAAAAAGTAGTATGAATGATGAGCGCTACCAGGAAGAAGAGATCACTAGGGGCTATGGAGTTCAAGGAGGAGTTCTTGGAAGATAAGGGAGTTGAAATATGTTCCTCAAGATAAGTAGGTTCTAAACAGAATGCAGTATTTTAAACAGAAGAAATGACAGAGAGAAAGGCACAGTGATAAAACAATAACTCACAAGTCACATTTGAAGGAATATGACTACGCCAGTGTGACGGTACCTAAGCATGAATACAGGGAGAGGTCAGTGATAAGACTGGGTCATGAAAGATTGCAATACCAGGGTCAAGAGCTTAGATTCTGCACGGAATGGGGGCCCACCGAAGCGTGTGAAGAGGAGAGGCGCATGATGGATGTGGAATTTTCACTTCTACCCACAGGTCTCAGATCTTCCAGTACTACAGTTACACAGAATGAGTTCATTCCTTTTTCCATGATAGTCCTTCCTAGACCTGAAAACTGCTATTATTTTCCTCCATTTGGAGGAAGGATGAGAAGGACAGACTGAGGAAGAGAGAGACTGAAATCAGGAGATAGCTGAGAAGCCGTTCGTAATTTGTAGGAGGTTTGAAATAAAAGGATGGCTCTGATTTCATGTAACTATAAACTTCCTTGCAACTGAAAAAAATGTTTTTATAAAAAAAAGAAAGAAAAAAGAACAATGTTCTTAACAAGTTGAATGTGTATCTTACTTATTTCACTTTAAAATTCACTTCAAAGCCTAATGGGCAGCTTTAAAACCAAGTTCTCTACTGACAGAGGAAAGTGCTGTCTCAAGAGCAGACAGTAATCTGCAGAAAGACAGTCGCCTTTCCTGAGGGAGCCCACCCACACGGCTCTAAGAGAGCATCAGACAGTTTTTTCTGTGCTCTTTCCAATTATTTCACATACTTTTCTCAGGACTATGGGTAGTCTTGAAGCATCAACAGAGCACCCATAAAAGTCATTGATGTTGTATTCTTTAAACATTTCCTTCAGCATTAAAGGGTATTTTCCAACTGAAAAAGCCTAAATTCTAAAACTTAAACCCATGTTTGTGCAACATAAAACCCGCTGCAATAAAATCCTCGTGTTACCCTCTTTACAGCAATATTAACTCATTGATATTTCAGAGTATCTGGCCGTGACATTCTGATGGTAACACTAAAACATTTTCATAATTGCCCACACTAAATAATGTCCACTGTGTTCCTTCGTACGATTGATGGAAAACTATTAAGACATAAGCAACACGATATTTAAAAATAAATACCCTATGACCAAATAAAATGGATTTCAAAACTTGACCTTAGTTGGCTCAGGACTACTTTCTTATCTGCTTTCTAAGCTACAATTTTCAGAACCCCCAGGACAGGGTATATATTTCAAGGTCCAAAAGAATGTACCCTCTGTCCTATTAAGTTGGCAAAGTTACAGTTTACCAAAGATTAGTCCTATAAAGTCTATAAAGAGATTTTTTTAAATGCATGTATTAACCTCAAATAATTCAGCCAGTTTATCTAAAAACATGTGCTGCTGGATACATGTATAATCGTTTCAATTTCAATTTACTGTATAACTAGTTTTATTAAAAGGATTTAGAGTCTAAATTCATATTTGTTGAGGACTTAAGCAGAAATTTTATGCAGTTAGACACACTAACATCGTTCAGTAATTAACCATATTGATTCACACCGTACACTTCATATCTTGTCGTTCTAAAATACCGTAATTTTTGGTCTTAAATTACATTTGCATAAACTAACTACAATAAAGAAGGAAACATTAAAAACTGAAGGCAGGTGTTAAGTATTTAGGTAAAATCTTCATTGTAATTACATATAACTACAGGTACAATTCTAGAAAACTAAAATTCAATAAAATGTTAAGTAATAAAATTATACATATCTGAAGCCACATATTTACCTGACATTGCCCTTGGTGTTTCTGAGAACTGTTGCAGCAAAATTCTGTGTGACACCCACCAAGCTGATTCCATCCACTTCCACAATCTGGTCATTGACTTGTATTCTTTGGGAAGAGGAGAAAAATTAGCCACAATTAACTTTTCTGATAGTACATTATCATTTTCAATACATGAGTTGGCAAAGTACTTGATTTTATGATACTCTTACTGACCCCAAAATTTGTCTTTTATCCACAAGCTCCGATCTCAGTCAAATGCTTAATGATTTTATTATTTTTTTAATTTTAATTTAATTTAATTTTTTTTTTAAGAAAGGCAGACTGCCACGTGCAGAGCCTCATTTGGATGTGTCTGGAGTCTTGGAAGCTTGACTACCCTATGTTCTCCTACAAATGGATCTTGAGAGTTTGTTTGGAGGCTCTAGCAGGGCAGCGCAGGAGAACAGTTCCCCTCTATCGGGGAAGGTCGTCCTCTTCGACCCAGCGCGCAGCTTCGGGAGGGACGCACGTGGAGTGGTGAGGGAGGAAGGGGACACCCGCCTAGCCAGCCAGATGAGACGAATCAACCCTGGCGAGCAATGGGGTGACAGATGTCGCAGCCAGATCGCCCTCACATCCTTAATGTTTTTAAAAGATCGTCTTGTATGGTGACTAACATAACATAATAAAATTAAAAAATAAATAAAATAAAAGATCGTCTTGAAAAATAGATTGTTTTGAAAAGCAATACTAAATGGAGAGATTCAGTTTGCCCAATATTCATATTCCTATCACAAAGAATTGGTAACTGCTAATGTACGACATACTTACATCATTTTTGGTCCTTAATAAATTACATAAAACAACAGATCCAGCTGAAATATGCCGTGGGCCTCATCCCTAGTCCTGCTTTCCACCTCTCCTCTTCAAGGAAAAACATCATCAGGAATTGCAGGGAATCCTTCCTATTTAAGTTGCACACTTGAACGCTTGAAATAGATAATGCTCGTAACTGTACGTATGTTTATGTGTGCACACACGTATATAAATGCATATATTTATTTATGTTTAGGAGCAATATACAGTATTAGTGTTGTTTAATGTATAATGCTTTTAAATTTATATACATGTTTTATACATACCATTTTTTTATTCCTCAAAAGGAAGTATTTCTCTTTTTTTTTTTCCTGAAGTATTTCAATCATGGAGAAATGCAGAGGGAATTAGGTAATAAACGCCCATGTACCAAACACCCAACTTTATCAAATCTCAGCACTGTGCAATATTTGAGTCAGATTTTTTCCTAAAGAAATGTATTCCAGAAAAGCTAGAGCCCCTTTATTATTCATCTCTAATTCTAGTTCCTTCACTGCTTCCATAGATGTAACCATCATACTAATTTTGATGTTCAGTCTTCCTACGGACATTCTGAAGTAGAAATAATATGTATACATGAATACACACAATATGTGTACATCTGCAGTTTTCAAACATTGTGAAGTGTGCCTCTCATTCCATAATTTAGTTTGCTTCACTCAACGTTATGTATGAGATTTATCCACAGTTATAAATACCATTCTACTAATTCATTTTAACAACCAGGTATATACATCTTTTGTGAATATATCAAAATGTATTCATCCATTATTTGCAGATGGACAATTGTATTGTTTTCCATTTTAGCCATTACGAATACTGCTCATATGTGTCTCCTTACGCACATGTGAGTTTCTCCGTGATATATACCTAGAAATAGAACTCCTGAATCAAAGACCATTCGCTTTTTCAACTTAAAGAGACAAATTTTACTTCAAAATGCTTATGCCGATGCATATTCTCAGTAGCACTGTATGTATGAAAGGTTCTGACTTCCCACACTCTCACCAATACTTGGTATATTCTGACCCTTCAAATACTGGTGATCTTGTAAGTATAAAAAGACATCACACTGTGATTTTAATTGCATTTGCCTGATTCCCAGTGCAGTTGAACATTTATTCATATCTTTCTGAGTCATTTGTCCACTTCTGCAAACTGTTAGATCATGTCTTTTACCCATTTTTGTTGATGTTGTTGGGTTGGGTGTCTTTTTTCTTATTGATTTACTGAAGATGTCCTCATACATACTGTATATTAACACTTTCTCAATTAAATATGTTGCAAATACCTTTGTCCCAATCTGTGGCTTGTCTTTTCACATTTCTTTGAAAAATGGTGATTTTGAGGAAAACAATTTTTAAAAATATAATCACATTTGAAATTTCAGCTTTGTATCAGGTAGTTCTGTGTTTTGTTTCAGGAACCCCTTTCTGCCTCAAGGTTATAACGACATTCTACTCTTTTCTTCTAAAAGTTTTAACATTTCGCCATTCTGCATTTAGGTAGTTATCCACTCGGAAATTATTTTTTATTATAATATGTGTTAGCAATCTATTTTCATGCTTTCCAAGTGTTATAAACAAATGCCTTAATAACTTTTAATAAGAGTTCACTTTTCCTCCACTGATTTGTAGTGCCGCATCTGTCAGGGTTTCAAATGTGCATCAACATGTTTTGGGTTTTCTATTAGTTTCTTTTTTTTTTTTTCCTATTAGTTTCTACTTGTCTGTCTATCTCTGCACACTCTATTGGTTCATAATTAGTTTTGACATTTCATAGGATAATTCCCTCCACCTTGTTCATTGTCCTCAAATTTTTCTGAGCTATTCTTGAGCTTTTTCTCTTCATAATTAGTTTTGGACTTACTTGCCAAGTTCTATAAAAACACTCGTTGAGGTTTTAATAAAATAATACTGATTTTTAGATTAGTTTGGGGAACATTGACGTCTTTATCATATTGACACTTCCCATCAATAAACCTTATGCTACTATAATTACTCTGGACAAGTGTTGGGACTATCATATGTTGTTGCCATGTGTTAAGAAGAGTTAAAGTTTGAAAATAAGAATAAAAAGGAGAGCAATCTAGATTCAGGTGCATTATTTAACAGATCCACCCAAGGATAATTTGGGGGAATGTATTTTCATTGATCCACTGTTTAAAATTGATTACAATCCTGGATACACTTAAGTTGCATGTTAATTTGCAGATTTTTCTGTCCTGAATAAATTCAGATACTTTCCTTCTGTTAGAAAAGATAATCCCATAGGCCATGGTTTATTTCCCTGTAGAATATTAACTAGTTTTATATCTAACTTAGTAATGTTATTCTAATACTACTTTATTAACTTGCCTTTAACTACGCACGTCTAAAATGTCCTTTGAATCACATTTACCACATCTCACTGGTTCTCTCATTAATTAGTGAGTTAAGTAAAGTCTAATCCGTGTTCATTTTATATGTATGAAAGTCATTTTTTTAACTCTCTGAATATAAGCCTACGATAGCTTCGGAGCTTCCACCAAGATGCCAGAGTGGATTCACAAAGCCAATACCACTGTTACCACAGAAATATGTATCATGGGCTGTTTAAGCCCAGGAATAATTGCTTGGTCCCTGGACTGATTCTAAAGCTGCAACAGAGCACTATCTTTGTTAACATGTTTTTGTCCTAATGTAGTACTTTTGAATTTTTTTCTGGCTTTGGCCATTTTGGTTCTGGATCTAGTTTGTTCTAAACAACAATGAAAAATCACTCCCCACTGGTAGCAGCAATGAGTAGGAGTGTAATTTTATATTCTGACCATTCGAGACGGCTATTGGGATTATAGGGATCTATTATCTCTCATGTGAAAGATGATAAAAAATTTGAGTTACTATCCTTTAATTTTTTTTGTCTATTTGTGGGCTTAAACTATTTCATAAAAAATTTCCTGAACACTAGAAAGGAAAATAGCCCTTTGAAATCTTGACTGGTGAGTTTTTGTGTTTCTTTGATTACTTAAAGCTCTTTCCAAGGTTGCAGAACTGAAGCAACAAATTCTGTGTTGTTGTAATTGAGAAAAGCCATTATCTCTCACTGTGTATGCATGAAATATGTTCCTAACATAGAAGGGTATTAATAAATTAAATTATAAAGTCTTGGAAGTTAAAGGAGTGATAATCTGGTTCAGAGAGAATAGCAAGCACTTTCATAAATCTTATATTTTAGTATCTTATGAAGACTTTAAATGTGCTAGACATTTAAGAAAAAAATCCTTCTTAGAGATTCTGCCAGAAGCTCAGAAATATTTTTGAGAAAGCCCAGTTCACATAATAGAAGTAAATCTTTAGACAAATAAGACTAATTTAATAATTTTGGTTTAAAACACATACCTATATTTTCTCCATGATTTTGTAAAGGTATGGGTTTGCATTTTCTAAATGAAGAGACTAGTTAATCTGAACTTCCTAATATTCTGATATGGATACTGGTCAGATTAACAGTATCCCTACATAAAGCTTAAAAAGCATAAGAAAACCAAATTGTTTTAACTAAACTGAATCATAATTCTGACAAACTTTTTATCGATGGGAATTATGTTTTATAGAGTGTCAGCTTAAAACATGATTTCCAAGATTCTTAGTTATCTTCAAAACCTTGGTCATAAAGCATAGCTTTTAATATATATAACTCCACTTATATTAAAATGTTACAAAGTTACAAAAAATAAATAAAAAATAAAATGTTACAAAGTTACTTTAACTTTGCATGTTAAGGAACGCGTTTATCTTTGCACTTTAAGAAGACTATAAAAATTGTGTGTGGCTGCAGAAAATGATAGCTACTGGTCTGGTATTGCTTGTGTATGACACAAAATCATTATCAAGTCCCTATCTACCTGCAAAGGTTGTTAACTAGAAGTTGGTTAAGTAAGCTGTAAATTAAGTGTAATATGCATAATTGAGATGATGCTAGCAGCAACAGTTACAGAAAAAAATATAATTGAGGTAATGGGATGGATTTATTTATTTATTTATCTATCTATCTATCTATCTATCTATCTATCTATCTATCTATCTATCTATTTATTTATTTATTTATTTATTTTAGAGAAAGGATAGTAGGTTAGCCCGACAGTATCAGCCTGTTCTAGGATATCAGAGAACATAATGAAGATCAAAACTTGAGTGTGCACAGCAAGTTAACAAGGTTTGAAGAAGTGATTTTTATTTGCCTCGGTTTATACCATCTGAGGCCAAAAA